GCCTCGCATTTCAGGATGAAAAGACAAACATTTCAGGTGAAGGATGATCCACTTCTTACCTTCAAGACTGTGTTTTTTTAATCTCACAATTCTGACTTTTTTCACAGAATTGCGAGATAAAAAGTCACAATTACCTTTTTTATTTTTTATTCAGTGGCGGAAACGGGCTTCCATATATTTGTGCACATTTTCGATTTTATCAAGGTACCAAAGTACAAGCAGATTGAATGCGATGTAAAGTCAAAGCTCACGATTTACGTGCTCACACTGTACGTGTGAAATACTCAGAGATTTGAGAGACTTAGAGATATCAAAAAAAAAAAAAAGGCATCAGCTATTAATGGATTAAATTATTACCATTATTATTATTATTATTATGGTACTTTTATTATTAAATGTAATGGTCTACTACAATTAATTTGCCCCACAATAATTTCATAGCTCATTATACCGCAGAACTGACGCGCGGATAATAAATGATTAAATATATTACATATATACTGTACATGCATGTGTGTGTATTTATATATACATAATAAATATACACAGTATACACACACATATGTAAAGAAAAACTTTAATTTTGGATGCGATTAACCGTGATTTATCGTTTGACAGCACTAGAAATAAGTGTTTTAATTATGGTTAAGTGAAGCTATTCAATAAAAGCAGTGTAGCAAGCAGACGGGTGTTTTCTCTCTTCTGATTCTGTATCAGAGTATAGAACACTTCTAGACTCTTTGTCTGTATCACAAAATACGACGCAGAAGTGTGGCGTCACTACAAAGAGTCAAAGGCTAAAATATTAACCTTTACTTTAAGCTTAATATTTCAAATACCTGTGAATTTTGAGGTCAAGAAAAATAAACTATTTTGCATCTTTTTCATTGTATTTATAGGATTTGGAATTCTATATTAGTAGAAAAATGATAAGAGTGTATGATAGAAATTTGTATAATTGATGTGCTTTTTTATACAGAAAACTAAAATTTAAATTGAATTGAATTGTTTGAATTGAATTAAAGTACAACATATTATTACACATTTGTTTATTTTATTACGAAAATACTATATACATAAGAAGAAGTGGGCTCACCAAAATTTTCATATTTTATAAATGACTTTAAATTTTATGTAAATCTCTTGGAACAAACCAAGAACAGAAAAGCACTGAAAAAATGTAATGCTGAAAGCATTGACATTTATGTCATTTTCATCCTTCCTTTCTTTGGCATATATGTATATGTGTGAGAGTATGTGTGTGTGTGTGTGTGTGTGTGCGTGTGAGAGAGAGAGAGAGAGAGAGAGTGTGTGTGTGTGAGAGAGAGAGTGTGTGGCGTGTGGTGTGTCGGGGGGTGTGTGTTTGAGGACTTCAGGTGACTGTGAGTGTGTGTGTGTGAGACCTTCAGGTGACTGAGAGTGTGTGTTTGTGAGACCTTCAGGTGACTCAGTGTGTGTTTGTGTGAGACCTTCAGGTGACTCAGTGTGTGTGTGTGTGTGTGAGACCTGCAGGTGACTGAGAGTGTGTGTGTGTGTGTGTGTGTGTGTGTGTGTGTGTGTGTGAGACCTGCAGGTGACTGAGTGTGTGTGTGTATACACATAAGTTTGTAAGAAACTGTTTAGTTTTCCAGAAAGATTTTAATTATAGTAATATAATGTAGCACATGCTGCTGATCAGAGGGATGTAATGCCAGACAGAGTCGAATGAAACGTACACTGCACGGAGTGTTTAGCGCTCCGCGATGTTCATCTCGCCTTATTCTGGGTCCGAATCAGATCAGATCATGCACAGACTATCCTGTCTCTTTGAATTTAAATCTATATTTACTCTTGAAAACCTCTATGCGAACACACTTGCCTGAAAATGTGCGGGGGACGAATTTACGTGATATTAAAAGTGGAGGGGACACGCTCCTGGTTTCACAAAACTAAATCAGACCACTCTGTTTTTGCCTCAGATTTCGAAATTATGCAGTCTAATTCAGATTAAAAACTGCTCATGCTGCATCTTTGTTTGGACGATGATTAAAATGCAGTGGTTGCCTCTCATTTTAAATAGAAAGAGCACAAAGCCTTAGTTTGTTCATATTAAGAGATTTCTTTTATTTATGTAACTTGCTTATTTGATTTGGCATTTGTTTTAAAAATTCAGTTTAGTCAATTTCACAAAGAAACGTGCAGCAATAGCCTAATAAAAGGACACCTAGCTTCTCATTTGCTGTATGTCTTCAATCTCATTTTGTTTAAAATAAAACGTGATAAAATCGAATCAAATCATGAGTCGAGTGAATCGTTACATTTTTTCCAAGCCATTGTTAGATGCCAGTGTTTCCTGTCATAACTATGCAAGATTTGATTTCAAATACGGTCTCATAGCTATTCAACTATATCTGGTTTTGGTTTTTAATCTGTATTTAACCTCAGAATGATCTCAAAGTAAAGTAGTGCTAAAGTCTGTGCTTTAACATTAAATTATTATAATCTTAATTCAAGTGATGAAGTGACAGTAATCAGTGTTGAATACTACTGTAAGGTTAATCCTGTCTGGCTTACATTTTTGAAAATGATTAATAATTGAAAACATTAGAAATTTAGGGAAGTAATCCGTTACATTAATAAAGTAATAGTTACTTATTACATTTTAGATTGGGTAACTTGTAATCTGTAACCTATTACATTTCCAAAGTAACCTTCTCAACACTGTGTATTAGTCACAACATGTTTTGCAAATCCATTTTCTAATACAAAATAAATGTAACATATTTGTATTTAGAAAAAAAAAAATTCTTAATAAAAGTAGTCACTACTTGGGCCACATGTTTGGAAAATTATATTTAAACCCACTGTATTTCAAATAAGAGCTAAAACTAATAATACCGTTGCTTCAGAACTAATAAATGTTTGGTCAGAGTCAGAGAAGAGAATGAGGTCTTTAATTTTGAACTAGTTTGATTTGAATCAAAACCATCGTTTGCACAATCTGTGTAGTTTCTAGATCAAGACCGGCTCGTTTCTGCATCTTCAAGCGGGGCTGTGACGGTCTTTAAGCTTCAGCCTGACTGTCAGGTATGTGCTTTGGTTGTTTGTCTGATAAATGTCATTATGCACAGCACATCTGACCAGTGTGACTGGCGTTTAGGCTCTGTCGCTGGCTCATGTGTGGGAGAGGGCTCATGGATATTCCTGTGATAATGCACCCTGCACTGCAGTAGTGTGCAGGAGCCCTGAACTAGTGTCAGTGGGTGAGGATGGCCGAGTTATTCTTTACAAGGCAGATCAGACTGAAGTTGTCCGTGTTATTGGTAAGTGTTTTCTGGCTTTCTTTGTAGCACAGACAAAGATCTCGTATATGAATGCTTTGATATGAAATCATAGTTCTGTTATAATTTACCCTCCGGTCATGTTCCAAACCTATGTGACTTATTTCTATCCATGGAACACAAAAGATGATGTTTTCCGTACAATGGAAGATCTGGATGGTGACCATATGACTTCCGGGTCTGAAGAATATCATAGGTTTGAATGCGGAACAACAGCCCTTCTCTTTTCTCCTTCCCATCAAGGTTATGTGTAAAAGATGAATTCTGTTCCTCGCACAAAGCTGTGGTATGGATTCAGAAGACGTAGACCATAGAGCAGCAGTCATGGACTTGTGTTATGGTGCTTTTTGAAGCTTTACTGATTTAATATCCATTGCTTCTCTCAATGGACGAAAGCTTTGAGGTTCTGCTGAATTGTTGTGTTTCACTTAAAAAAGCAAGTCGTACATCTTTGGAATGATATGAGACCGATCACACTTGCCTGAAAATGTGCGGGGGACGAATTTACGTGATATTAAAAGTGGAGGGGACACGCTCCTGGTTTCACAAAACTAAATCAGACCACTCTGTTTTTGCCTCAGATTTCGAAATTATGCAGTCTAATTCAGATTAAAAACTGCTCATGCTGCATCTTTGTTTGGACGATGATTAAAATGCAGTGGTTGCCTCTCATTTTAAATAGAAAGAGCACAAAGCCTTAGTTTGTTCATATTAAGAGATTTCTTTTATTTATGTAACTTGCTTATTTGATTTGGCATTTGTTTTAAAAATTCAGTTTAGTCAATTTCACAAAGAAACGTGCAGCAATAGCCTAATAAAAGGACACCTAGCTTCTCATTTGCTGTATGTCTTCAATCTCATTTTGTTTAAAATAAAACGTGATAAAATCGAATCAAATCATGAGTCGAGTGAATCGTTACATTTTTTCCAAGCCATTGTTAGATGCCAGTGTTTCCTGTCATAACTATGCAAGATTTGATTTCAAATACGGTCTCATAGCTATTCAACTATATCTGGTTTTGGTTTTTAATCTGTATTTAACCTCAGAATGATCTCAAAGTAAAGTAGTGCTAAAGTCTGTGCTTTAACATTAAATTATTATAATCTTAATTCAAGTGATGAAGTGACAGTAATCAGTGTTGAATACTACTGTAAGGTTAATCCTGTCTGGCTTACATTTTTGAAAATGATTAATAATTGAAAACATTAGAAATTTAGGGAAGTAATCCGTTACATTAATAAAGTAATAGTTACTTATTACATTTTAGATAGGGTAACTTGTAATCTGTAACCTATTACATTTCCAAAGTAACCTTCTCAACACTGTGTATTAGTCACAACATGTTTTGCAAATCCATTTTCTAATACAAAATAAATGTAACATATTTGTATTTAGAAAAAAAAAAATTCTTAATAAAAGTAGTCACTACTTGGGCCACATGTTTGGAAAATTATATTTAAACCCACTGTATTTCAAATAAGAGCTAAAACTAATAATACCGTTGCTTCAGAACTAATAAATGTTTGGTCAGAGTCAGAGAAGAGAATGAGGTCTTTAATTTTGAACTAGTTTGATTTGAATCAAAACCATCGTTTGCACAATCTGTGTAGTTTCTAGATCAAGACCGGCTCGTTTCTGCATCTTCAAGCGGGGCTGTGACGGTCTTTAAGCTTCAGCCTGACTGTCAGGTATGTGCTTTGGTTGTTTGTCTGATAAATGTCATTATGCACAGCACATCTGACCAGTGTGACTGGCGTTTAGGCTCTGTCGCTGGCTCATGTGTGGGAGAGGGCTCATGGATATTCCTGTGATAATGCACCCTGCACTGCAGTAGTGTGCAGGAGCCCTGAACTAGTGTCAGTGGGTGAGGATGGCCGAGTTATTCTTTACAAGGCAGATCAGACTGAAGTTGTCCGTGTTATTGGTAAGTGTTTTCTGGCTTTCTTTGTAGCACAGACAAAGATCTCGTATATGAATGCTTTGATATGAAATCATAGTTCTGTTATAATTTACCCTCCGGTCATGTTCCAAACCTATGTGACTTATTTCTATCCATGGAACACAAAAGATGATGTTTTCCGTACAATGGAAGATCTGGATGGTGACCATATGACTTCCGGGTCTGAAGAATATCATAGGTTTGAATGCGGAACAACAGCCCTTCTCTTTTCTCCTTCCCATCAAGGTTATGTGTAAAAGATGAATTCTGTTCCTCGCACAAAGCTGTGGTATGGATTCAGAAGACGTAGACCATAGAGCAGCAGTCATGGACTTGTGTTATGGTGCTTTTTGAAGCTTTACTGATTTAATATCCATTGCTTCTCTCAATGGACGAAAGCTTTGAGGTTCTGCTGAATTGTTGTGTTTCACTTAAAAAAGCAAGTCGTACATCTTTGGAATGATATGAGACCGATCAAGACAGAATTTTCATTTTGGGGTTAACCCATTCTTTAATTACATTTGACCTGTAATGCATATTAATAGCACTGTGTTATTGCCTTTCAACAGAAAACGCAGATAGCAGTACGATTCATGCCGTGACGTTTCTGAGGACGACTGAGGTCCTCACTGTTAACTCCATCGGCCAGCTGAAGATGTGGGACTTCAGACAGCAGAGGGACAGTCCTGCGCAAATTCTCTCTCTGTATGATTCACTCGTACTAGTTTAAGAACAATAATTAGCATTGGATTCATTTGAATCTCCAGAAAGCTGAAGAACATGTCCGTTCACACCAGAATCAAAAAAATCATATTTTGCAGTATATTTTCTAGGACCATTGTGACTTTTTCATTATTTTCCAAATCCTCATTACAGTTCTTAATATTCTCAAGATCCACTTTAACAAATTGCTGTTTACCTTTTCAAATAAACACATTATTGATAGATTTTTTTCCTGCCAGTGTTTTAACATCTTAAGATAAGAAATTACCTTATTTGCCAGCATTTTGAGTCCTTTTGACATTCATCTCAATATCAAAAATTGGTCTGAATTCTCTCTATCTAGAACATATGTGACCCTGGAGCACAAAACCAGTCATAAGAGTCAATTTTTCGAAATTGAGATTTATACATCATCTGAAGGCTGAATAAATAACCTTTCCATTGATGTATGGTTTGTTAGGATAGGACAATATTTGGCTGAGATGCAAATATTTGAAAATCTGGAATCTGAAAATGCAAAAAAATCTAAATATTGAGAAAATCATCTTTAAAGTTGTTCAAATTAAGTTCTTAGCAAAGCATATTACTAATCAAAAATTAAGTTTTTATATATTTATGGTAGGAAATTTACTAAATATCTTCATGGAACATGATCTTTACTTAATATCCTAATGATTTTTGGCATAAAAGAGAAATGTATAATTGTGACCCATACAATGTATTGTTGGCTATTGCTACAAATATCCCCCAGCGACTTAACACTGCTTTTGTGCTGCAGGGTCACATATAAAAGTTGGATCGTAACGTGTTTTCTCATATTTTCTCTACTCATGCAGCACTGGGGACAGAGTGCCCTTGCACTGTGTGGATAAACACCCAAACCAGCAGCACATAGTGGCCACTGGAGGACAGGATGGGATGCTGTGTATCTGGGATGTGAGACAGGGCAATACACCCTTCTCTCTCATAGAGGCCCATTCAGCGGAAAGTGAGTATCCTTTGAATTCAGTAGATGTTAAAGGGGTCATATGATGCTTTTTTAAAGATCATTATTTTGTGTATTTGGTGTAACAGAATATGTTGACATGCTTTAATGTTCAAAAAACACATTCTTTTTCAAATACATTATTGTAGGTCCTCTATGCCCCGCCTCTCTCAAACACGTCGTTTTCAACAAAGCCCCCTCCTTTGACAAGCGCAGTCTGCTCTGATTGGCCAGCTGACCCAGTG